CTGTATAAATAAATAATATCCACGGCACGAAATGACAACACAGAAAACCTTTATTGAAATAGCACCTATATTTTTATTTCTTAAGCATATATGCTTATATATATAACATTATAATTGCTAAATTTTATTTCGTTGAATGTTTCCTTAGAAATTTTTAAATAATGACAACAACTGAGAGCCAATTACAGATTCTCACAAATAGAAATATAATAACGAACATTAGTCACAGATTACTTAATTTAACTTTTTTTATTTCATTTTATTATCTAGTGACCTGACGAACAAGTCATGCGCCTGATGGTTAGCTACACGCATGTCCATAACAGTTGCAGTGCCACTCAGAGCTTTAAATTGCAAAGATCTGAGAGACACTGTCACTGCGCTCGTCACCCTGAGACATAAGTTGACAAGTCCCATGTGCCTGTAATTTTACCAGCACCCATATTCTACAAAATCGGAACACAGTAATGGTGACATTACTGTGGTAGAAAAAGATAAGGTGGCAGTACTTCCCTGGACTAACTGTTTCACAAGGAGTTCTACCACTTGACTACTAAAAATAGATATATCATGTACTAGAGCTGTAATAGAGCAAGTTTGCAGTGCCGAGGTCTCGGCTGCATTAAGTTGATTAAGACTTCACGCATTAACTGCAAACTTGCAATCAATCTATTAGTAGCCTAACTGTTCCACCGTATAACAAAACTAACTCACAAAACATATAAATGTGAACGCACATATGTTTTTTTAACATATACGGTATACCAAATAAGAAAACTAAACCGTACAAGTGTGAAACAGCCGTAAGTGCTGTATTTGTTATGTCGGTGGTCTTCCTTGACTACAATAAGTTAACTCAGCTGATAACGTATTTCAAAAAGAAGTTACATTATTTACACTGCGTATATATTACATAGACTTTCAAAGTGATGGCGAGAAGCTATAAAACTTTATGAATCCACATGTTTTAGTGCACCTGAACCCCAATGACAAAGTAAAAATTTCAATACATTATTTACTTCGTAAAAATTATGATTATGAAGCGGAGACATATTTAATATAATTTTCACTACAAATTTTTCATTATTCAACAATAAGGAGATAGTATTGAAAAAAAAAAGAAAGAACGAAAGAAATAAGTGGAAAATGCATTTATTCAACCACCTACCAAGAAAAAAGAAACCAAACGGAAAAAATATGTTAAATGCATAACCATATCATTCAAACCTAAGACACAAACATGTGCCATAATTATATTTTTATTAATAATTATTATGTATTTATGGTGATAAGTCAAAGTCAAGTCAAAGTCAAAGATTATTTATTCCATAGGTAAAATAAATTTACACTTGAAAACGTCACAGTTAAGCTACTGCTCGTTCACTACGCTGACCTCCCTGAGAAGAACGAGCAAGAAACTCTAGGGATTGCTCTTTTCAAATAAACTTAAATGCTATGGAATACACTTTGAATCAAATTTGTGTGGATTCTGGAGCCATGTCGTCTTTCCATACATCTTTATCTAACACGCAGTCTTCAACTTTGTAATATAAATTTTCGATCAAAATATTTTTAATGTAGTTTTTAAACTTAGGAATTGATAAACTTAATATATGCTCCGGAATCTTATTGTAAAAACGTATACAGTTCCCCATAAAAGAGTTGTTTACCTTGGTTAAACGAAATCGTGGTACCATGAATTTGGACTTAGCTCTAAGGTTAATATTATGGATATCTTGTTTCTTATTGAAATTATGTATATGTTTACGGGCATATAAAATATTTGAGTAATTGTACTGTGATGCCACAGTCATGATACCAGTCTCCTTAAACTTTTCTCTGAGAGATACCCGAGAACCTAGACGGTACACAGAACGAATCGCTCGTTTTTGCAATACAAATATGGTTTGAATATCTGCCGCTTTACCCCACATGAGAATCCCGTAGGACATTATACTCTGGAAGTAACTAAAGTAAACTAGTCTAGCAGTACTAACATCGGTAAGCTCACGTATTCTGTGGACTGCGTATTCAGCGGAGCTTAATCTGCTGGCCAGAGACGATATATGTGGAAACCATTGAAGTTTACTATCTAAGGTCACTCCAGAAAAGCTTTAGCCCTGCTTTATTAACAAGGTCTAACTTTTCTCCGTTTATTTCTATGCTTGGACTAGTCGATTTTACGTTAGGTAATTCAAATTTAACACATTTTGTCTTCTTGGCATTAAGCAATAAATTGTTAGCATTAAACCAATAAACTACCTTAGAGAGGGTATCATTAATATGGTCATAGTTAATGTCATGTCTGTCTGTTTTAAAAATCAAGGATGTGTCATCAGCAAACAACACTATTTCGCAATGGTCCTTAACAAAGAATGGCAAATCATTAATATAAATCAGAAATAAGCCCTGCGGAACACTCATTTTTACGGGAGAACCCAAAGAAGTCACTCCATTTATGTCTACTTTCTGAATTCTACCGTTGAGATATGACCAGACAAGTTTCGACGCCTTGCCATTTACACCGTAATGTTCCAGTTTCCTAATAAAAGTAATATGATCAACGCAATCAAATGCCTTTGAGAGGTCACAGAAAACACCAATAGCGTTCTGTGACCTTTCCCAAGCATCAAAGATGTGTTTTAGTAACGCTACCCCCGCATCGCTAGTCGATCTACCACTAGTAAACCCGTATTGTTCACTATGAAAAATATGATTCCTACCGAAATAGGACAGTAATTGAGTTAGCATAACCTTTTCGAATATTTTTACTTAAAGCTGGTAAAATTGAAATGGGCCTATAGTTGCTAGGATCAACTATAACTATAAATAACCTTGCTGTATTTCATTAAATCGGGAAAAACACCTTCGTGAACGCACCTATTGAAAGCTACAGCTAACTGTGGGGAAATTAGATTAATAACTGAGTCTATAACTTTAGTTGATATGCCCCAGAGATCTTTAGTTTTTTTAACATGTATTGATTTAAAAGCTTTTATATATTATTTTTTAGATATTCTTTGGTTGCACCCCTTTTTGCATATTCCAAATTTCTATCCTAAAGTTATCTGGAAGAAATCGCTACATAGCCATAAGGCCGCGTGTCGCACATTAACTTACTATTTTTAACCGACTTTAAAAAAAGGAGATTCTCAATTCGACTGTCATTTTATGTATGTTACGCGATAACCATATTTGTGAACCGATTTTGATGATTCTTTTTTATTGGTACCTCAATAGTTACATTTGAAGAAAATATTCCACCGCTAAGGGTGGCAAACTAGGGAATGAATGACTTTTGAGGTCGGTTTATATATTTAATGTCTTTGTTTATGTTTATGAAATAAAATCGGCGTTCTTGTACATTATATATTCTCATTTACTTTTATTTATTTTATTTTACTTATTTGGCACAGCAACAGAACACGAACAAATGACTTAACTACAACAGGTAGATACATAAAAAAATGTAAGTAAATTTGCAATCCTTTTACTGCTATGCACGACATTTCAATAAGCGATATACTTCCTACTTAAATATAATTTAAAAATTAGACTTAAAGGGCACAAAAAAGTAAGCACAAATTTTAAAATTAGTTAGTAGAAATTCTTAAAAGCAATAAAATAAAAAAACTACACAGAAACACAATTCAATATTACTGAAAAGTTATTCATAAATGTTTTATGACCCGTATGCATAGTTTATAAATTACTATGTATATATGTGCGTGTGTGTGTGGGTGTGCGTGTGTATGTGTGTGTGTGTGTGTGTGTGTGTGTGTGTGTGTGTGTGTGTGTGTGTGTGTGTG